TTGTGGCCACGGGTGGGTCAGCTCGGGTACTAGTCTAGTGGCAAGCCGCTCAATCTTGTATATACCACGTATGTCAGACCAATTCTGGAGTATGCAGCGTGACAGTCCGTGTCTCGCCAAGCACAATTGGAGAAGATTCAGAGGTTTGTCACCAGACTAGTACCCGAGCTGAGGGGCATGAGCTACGAGGAGAGACTACGGGAACTAGACCTCACGTCGCTGGAAGACAGAAGACTTACGGGGAGACATGATCACCACATACAAAATTCTCAGAGGAATTGATAGGGTTGATAATGGCAGTTTATTTAACAGAAGGGGTACACAAACAAGGGGACACAGGTGGAAACTGAGTACCCACATGAGCCACAGGGACGTTAGAAAGAACTTTTTCAGTGTCAGAGTAGTTAACAGGTGGAATGCATTAGGCAGTGATGTGGTGGAGGCTGACTCCATACACAGTTTCAAGTGTAGATATGATAGAGCCCAATAGGCTCAGGAACCTGTACACCAGTTGATTGACGGTTGAGAGGCGGGACCAAAGAGCCAGAGCTCAACCCCCGCAAACACAAATAGGTGAATACACACACACACACACACACACACACACACACACACACACACACACACACACACACACACACACACACACACACACACACACACACACCACAGGACATTGCGCAACAAAGCCTCTTGAAAAGTGAGAGAAATTTCCGAGGCGAGCGGAGGGAAGAAAGCGAAGAGGAAGAGGGAATGAGAAAGAGAGAAGAGGAAAGCAAGAGGCAAGAAATAAGACAAGGAAGAATAGGGGAAAGAAAGAGGGAGAGGGAAATAAAGAAGGGAAGAGCTAGAAGTTCAGAGATGGAAGGAGTGGATAAGAGAATAAATAGGAGAGGAGAGTAAGGTAGAGGATAAGAAGGGAAAGGGGGGAAGGTAAGGGAGGAAGATGGGAAAGGGCAGGAAGGGAAGGGTAAGAGCTTCTGTATACCATCTTTCACCATTTCCTCTCGTGCCGGAAATGGTGCCCCATTCCCACCTCTGTGTACGTGGTGTCTGTGTACGTGGCCCTGTGTACGTGGTGACTGTACGTGGTGTCTGTACGTGGCTCTGTGTACGTGGTGTCTGTACGTGGCCCTGTGTACGTGGTGTCTGTACGTGGCTCTGTGTACGTGGTGTCTGTACGTGGCCCTGTGTACGTGGTGTCTGTACGTGGCTCTGTGTACGTGGTGTCTGTACGTGGCTCTGTGTACGTGGTGTCTGTACGTGGCTCTGAGTACGTGGTGTCTGTACGTGGCTCTGTGTACGTGGTGTCTGTACGTGGCTCTGTGTACGTGGTGTCTGTACGTGGCTCTGTGTACGTGGTGTCTGTACGTGGCCCTGTGTACGTGGTGTCTGTACGTGGCTCTGTGTACGTGGTGTCTGTACGTGGCTCTGTGTACGTGGTGTCTGTACGTGGCTCTGTGTACGTGGTGTCTGTACGTGGCTCTGTGTACGTGGTGTCTGTAAGTGGCTCTGTGTACGTGGTGTCTGTACGTGGCTCTGTGTACGTGGTGTCTGTAAGTGGCTCTGTGTACGTGGTGTCTGTACGTGGTGTCTGTACGTGGCTCTGTGTACGTGGCCCTCTGTACGTGGCCCCTCTGGACGTGAATGTTTACATGGCTCTGTGTACTTGGCAGTGTGTGTGCGTGTATGAGAGAGAGAGAGAGAGAGAGAGAGAGAGAGAGAGAGAGAGAGAGAGAGAGAGAGAGAGACAGACAGACAGACAGACAGACAGACAGACAGACAGACAGACAGACAGACAGACAGACAGACAGACAGACAGACAGACAGACAGAGAGCAAGGGGTTGCTCCCGGACCATGGGGGTCGCCGTCGGACCAGAGCACATGTGACCCATCTCAGCCGAGAACGGAAATATCCACGGGTGATAACTCTAAGTTACTCATTTACACGGCCCGCCATTAACAACCTACGAGGTAATTAGACCCGCTCCTAACAGCTCTGGAGCCACGTGTGGCGCGCTCGTTCCGTAGACTCGTTCCTATCCCTCTAATGATGTCTTGAAGAACATGTCATTATGTAGCGTTACCTTGAGGTTACCTTGAGGTGTTTTCGGGGCTTAGCGTCCCCGCGGCCCGGTCGTCGACTAGGCCTCCTCGTTGCTGGACTGGTCAATCAGGCTGTTAGCATTATACTAATACAGACTAGGTTTACACCGATGAGTTACAGACGTGTTCCTTCAGGATGAGTTTGCGAGACTGAAGACGGAACGCAGGATTGTGTGAGACAATACTGAGGCTATGAAATGGGATCGGTCATGCGTCCGTGTACTCCCCGAGGCCCAGGCACACACACACACACTATCTACTGGACAAAGATCACATTATACAGCCTTGTCCTCATACCCCATTCGAATGCAATATAGTCATATTGACTGGGTCTTTACCCCTCATAATTACCTCACCTTGCCGTATATATATATATATATATATATATATATA